TTTTTGTATTTTCTATTTGTGTAACCTGTGTAAGCATATATGCTCACAAGTCACTTAAAATTTACACTGTTCGTCAAGCGGAATGAAATAATAACAATAATATTCATAATAATCATAATATTAATGTAGTGATATATAAGACCAAAAGTAAAAGCTGTCACTGATATTCGCTTCATGTACAAAACCGTTGACGTAGTTCACTTCCGACATGTTCGATGTCGGTTTGGAGCCGGGCCAGGTAGGGTCTCGGGGAGCTTTTGTAACTTTCAATGCGAGAGGGTATGTATGGATCCTGTGTGTGCGAAGTCATCCGAACACCGCGTTCCATTCGTCCGTTACCCTTATTCTCTTACCGATCGTCCTGTGAGCGAACTCAACCAGCGAACGTGCTCTCATGTCACGATGGATTCTGTAGTCACGCCCTCAAATCGCCCTTCGTTCTATCGTCCATTAGAGCAACAGCACCACTTTTGCAATGCTCCAACTCGACCGGTACGAATTTGCTGTACATTCCTCCGGGACCCGCGGATGTGCACTCTACAGTGGACTACACGCTGTACTTCTGGTTTTCTGCCCTTTTTCAAATGTGCTGTTCTGTTTCTCTTCATAAGCGAATCACAAATCATTTCTTAATGTTTTGATTCCTAACCATTGCTAGCCATTTGAGTTATTTCGATACGCTATATTGTACTCTGCGCAGTTCCCATTGAGGTTGCGTAAAGCCGCCGGACGAACCATACTTTCCGGTTGATTTACATTGCTATTTTCTGATATGTGTGAAGCACAAGCTGATCATAGTAGCCTCTCTGTCGAAACATTCATGCTAAACTCTGTCTGTCTGTACTTCATTTGGAATACCAATTCATTGATGAGACCGAATCAAAGTGATGGACCTTGACCGATAACGAAAATAGGAATCTTTGATAGAAATGTGAATAAGTAAACTTTGATATGATCTGCAAAGTACATTGAAATAGAGATAATTCGTTTTTTATTGGTGGAATATAATGACGNGTAATATAAATGGGGTAGACCGCTAGTGAGCAGTAGCAGGATTTGGGTGGTTCACCTAGACTGTCAGATCATGAGATTGCTGATCATTACACTACTAGCTGTCGGAGCGCTCGCTTCCAATGATGAGCTGTGGCACCATTGGAAGCGTCTGTATAAGAAAGAGTACAACGGTCCTGATGACGCAGTTCGACGAGCCATTTGGGAAGAGAATGTTGAGCACATCAAACAACACAATTTGCGCCATGATCTGGGCTTGGTGACCTACAGTCTGGGATTGAATCAGTTCACCGATTTGACGTTTGACGAATTCAAAGAGAAATACTTGTCGGAAATGCCATCCACATCGAATTTCATTTCCGAAGGCATTCCGTTCAATCCGACCAATGTGAATGTGCCCGATAGCGTGGATTGGCGTGAGAAGGGCTACGTGACTGAGGTGAAAAATCAGGTGAGTGATAGTGTGTTTGAGTGCGTCTGATTTCTTGCTTTGCGTTTAGGGTCAATGCGGCTCATGTTGGGCCTTCTCTACGACCGGTGCAGTGGAAGGACAATACAGGAAACTGTTCAGAACAAACGTATCATTCTCTGAACAACAGCTGGTCGATTGCAGCTCATCATACGGTAACCATGGATGCCATGGTGGTCTGATGGAAAACGCCTATCGATATCTGGGCAAATACGCATTGGAGCAAGAGAAGGATTATCCTTATAGGGCAGTGGTAAGCATTGTGCGGTTTATTTCCATGCGCTATCCCCGTCCAAATCTACTCAAATCTTATGCGCGTGTGTTTTCAATCTGTCCCATTATTTCTGTTCCAATAGGAAGGCCAATGCAAGTATGATGCATCGAAAGGAGTGACTAAACTAAGCGAATACCATGTCGTACATTCGGGAAATGAGCTCGCTTTGAAAGGATTGATCGGTCAAGATGGGCCTGCTGCGGTGGCCTTGGATGTGGAGAGGGACTTCATGATGTACAGGTATGTTATTTAGTTGAATGGCCGAAACAAATGTGTGCGCGCTCGAACAGAAATGATCGTGGTTGTGGTTTTTCTTTTCTTTTCGAAATATCATTAGGCTAAAATCGTGCTCGCATAGTTAGCACTTCTATCACTCAGTCTGTCGTTGGTCGCACTGACAATCACCCGTTTGAAATGAAATGCACTTTATGTAGATAATCATGCCTCCTTGTCTGTCATCTTTCCTGTCAGGAGTGGAATTTTCCAGAGCAGTGCATGCTCACCGAGGGCTTTGAATCACGGAGTTTTGGCTGTCGGATATGGAAGCGAGAGAGGCATGGACTATTGGATTGTGAAAAACAGCTGGGGTAAAACTTGGGGTGACAAGGGATACATTCGAATGGCCAGGAACCGAGGCAATATGTGTGGAATCGCCACCATGGCCAGCGTGCCACATGTGACGGTTCCCCACTAACGATTAATTTTCGGTTTCCGCTAATCGTTCTTTGTTGTGAATAAAAGTGCTGACCGTTACATGCGCTTGTTTTTATTTTATTTCATTGGTAGTTCTCTCACATACAGGCAATCGCTGTCAATGACTTTATTTGACAATTATTTTCATTCGAATTCAGGGTGAAAATGTGTTGGGAATTTGGTGCATTGAATAAATTGAGGTAGTTCGCAACATTTTTTGTTTGATTTTCGTTCTAATTTTTGTTCGTAATGTGTATTTCACTATCTCCTTGGGTTTACGCTTTGAAATGGGCAACCTTTTACATGTAAAGTTCACTTGTGGGCGTGCACTGTCTGTATACAGATGCGAACAATCGGACCAAACATATGCGATAAGGAAAATGCTAGTCAATGTTAGAGTCGTGGAAAGAGTGAGAGGACAAAGGTCAAGATGAACGTTCTAGTAATCACTGTAGACAAACGTCGTTTGAGAAGTTCCATATCATCGTCACTCTTGAACGGAACTTTAAGGAAACGTTCGTCCCTCGATCGGTTGGGATCTGGCTTGTGTTGACTTCAATCGTATATGTTTATCAATAACATCTTCGGAGTAACCATTTGACCGGGGTGCATCATAAATATATCGGAAGACAAAGTATCAACACTGCAAATCACACGCGCTCGGTATCATCAGGTTGCGTTTATATTTTAGGCGATTTTCAGTTTTCGTTACTCTTTGTACTTTGGCAATAAAAGTTCTGAACGTTGGATTCGCTTTCTATTGTTTCTATTGTTGGTATCAATGATATTTGTGTCGTGTTTGAAGACGTTTCCGGACATTATTTTGTATATTTTCAGTGTTTTTGAATACTTATTTCTTTATCGCTCTGTTCCAATGATTTTCGTATATGCGGTGAATGTATCATGTGTGTTGTGTCGAATTTCGAAAAGTCTTATACCTCTGGCATTCCAATCGCGCGAGATTTGAGGACATCATTTTCACGTCATTTCTGTCGTTCAGTCGTTTTGCGATTAAAGGCGTGCGGCTCTTACCACGCCCTCCTTTGTGATGATTATTCTTTTAATGGCAGTAGATTCATCGTTTGTTTCTAAATTCCACTACTCACCTGAAAATGACGATTCAGTTTCTGTCGCAAATACTTCCGGAGAGTGAATTTTCGGAAGGTACCTTGTTTTAATTGAGCCAGTAAGGAAATCAGTCTGATCTGGATTATCTTCCGGAACAAAGGGCCTGGGATGTTGAAAATACAAATCACGAAAACTTACCTGGCCTGACGGAGATGTGTTGATGTACTTGGATAACTGCACAGATACTCCATCAATTCTTTATACTGGACCAGCCAATGGTGCTTACCTCTTTGTGATAGGTCGTGGATTATCGATTTAAATTTGATGGACCCACGCATGAGGAATCTATTTTTACAACAGGTTAGAAATCTGTATGCACGTGTTTTAATGTGGGTTTTTCCCAGGTGCGTATTTTGTATTTGCCGTTCTCTCACGGGCATCCTAGGTTTTGGAGGCCACAATCGGTTTTGTTAGGATCGTGCCGGACACGTTTCCACGGAGTACACCAGTGACGAGAAAACCCGCAAGTGAATTTAACCAAACATCAGCATTAGAGTCCATCGTAAACGCATAAAGGGATAATTGAGAACCAATTAAAAGCAGTAACACCGACATTTTAGCGATAGTCGCTATTCTCAATTGAAGTGAAGTCACCGAGGGTAAAATTTACCGATCTCAGAGGATTAAGTTGGACGGGAAACCAAAGCACGGTAAGAAAGATGAGTACTTGTAGTATTGCGAATTGTATTCGAAATGCAGTCCCGGAATTTGCGCAATACCGATCCCCGAAATAGAACAACTATTCATTGATTTGTCTGACTGTCCTTCGGACTTCACCTTCACGCACCATCCTCAGGTTCAACCATACACTCGGAAGCACTAGACTCGAGTTTTGCTCTTATTAGAGCTCATCGGTAGTGCATATCCACCGTTCCTTCCGGGATTTGAACTTCGGATCCATCGTATGGAAGGTGTTTGTGTTACCACTGTCCCAATCAGCTGATGTCATGACTGAACCAAATTACCAATTCATGTTTGTTCAGGTGTTGTCTTTGGTGATAGTCAGTCAGTTCATTTGGCCCGAGAGCAACGAAGGGAGACACAGATGACAACCTATCAACTCCAATCGAAAGCCTCCCACCAATTCAGGACTTCCATGCAGGATACGGGCTGACTTGCCACATACCCACCAGGCTTGATTGATCTTCGAATGTGAAGGTGAAGTCCGAATGATAGTCAGTCAAATCACTACTTACACTACCTAAAAGTAACTGCGAGTCAAGTTGGAAAATAGAACAACCTCGAATGGAATAACACACGGAATGTATTCGAATCATATGCTATGCATATTCAATGCATTAAAAATGTACATTGAATTTGTCGGGGTCGTTGTCATACATTACAATACTGCCCCTCAGAATCCTCGAGGTATGCTAACTAGGAATTTGTAGTGACCAAGAGTAAGGCTCGGAATCTGGTGACAAGATGCACTCGCAGAAGGATATAAGAATTAAAAATGATGGCGTCTAATAAGCTGTAATAGTGGCCAAAGAAAAACTGGACCACAAACGAAATAATTTAACTTTTTTATTGGACGCTGTGCTAAGGGGCTCACAAATACAGTAGGTCCAAGCGCTAACAGCCTTAAGTCCCTCTAGGTTGCACTTTCGTATACCAATCTCTGAGGTACCCGGGATAAAAGTGGAGTGTGGCATAAAACCAAGTTGGCAGGGGTAGATATAATTGCGGTTAACGAAACATGGCTAAGGAGAAATTAATTGGTCTTAGTTTTACCGGAATCTACTGTATACATACAATATACAGTTGATGGGAGCCGAAGAGGCGGTGTTCCTCTAGCTGAGTGATCTAGTTGTTAAGAGTGGGAGTGGTCACTGACACAGGTCACGCCTATCCACAGCCTGTTACCTACGCGTTGGAGCAGGGTCTGTAGTCATTGGTTATGAACACTAGAGGCTCGTGCAACCAATTAGGAGAATAACGAGTTCGTACCTACCAAGGGAAAGATTCTTCAAAGGATTCAGATATTTCCTATTCTAGATGACCTACAGTACTGGCCAACTGTGATGCACTTAACTATTTTCTTTATAATCAAATATTCCCGAAATAGTGTGGGAAAATGAGCGAGATACTGGAGCTATGAATAAATGAGTAATACTGAACAGGCACAGTAGATGACCCATGCGTGGTGAAGGCCGCGTCCTGATAGAGCACGGGTAGATGATTTTACCGCGGGAAAGCACCAAGCTGTGTTTAATAATCGTAGACAACGTCAAGGTCTCGGGAAACGGGCGTGTACTATAATCTAAAACCTGCGTTTAGGTAGTTGGAGAAGTGAAATTTACCTGTGAATCTGTCCGAACTCCATCTCCTCCGTCGTCTCCATCACCCATGGTGTGCAACGTCATCCAAACGGTCTCTCAGAACCCGAATAGAATTTAAATAAAGATATTGAGATGTGACAACTCGCAAGTAACTGTGAGTTGAATGTGCAGTATTAACCCAGCCTAGTATGTTTATGGCCAGTTAACTTGTAACCTGCATGGAAGACCTGATTTGGTGAGAGGCTTCGACTGCAGTTAGCATATAACTAAATGTGTCTCCCTTTTCCGCTATCGGGCCAAAACGAACTGCTTGATTGTCTCGAGAGGCGACACCTGAACATACATCAATTTGCAATTCAGTTCAGCCCTAGTACGAGCTGGTTGGCACAGTGGTACACGCACGCCTTCCACGCAATGGATCCGGAATTCAAATCCGGTACTGGGTAGCAGATATGTAACATGGACGGGCTATAAGAAGAGCGAAAGCCGACTTTAGTGCTTCCGAGTGCATGGATGATTGGAAGAGCTGAGGACTGTGTAAAGGTGAAGTTTGAAGGACGATCAGTTCCAATCAAATATCGGATCAACTACTATTTCTAGCTGTTTGTTCAAAACTAGCCTCTACCAACGGCGAATATGTGGTTTTTAAGTCGTGTAGTATCCACGACAGCCATGAATAATGAAATCCTTATATAAACTTGGAACAGAACAATAAAGCCGAGAATGTAAAGACACGGAGTTGTTACCGGAATCCTTTTCCTTTCAACCTGGGATAAATATGGGGGGNGGGGGGAGGCAATATAACTAGTGTGGAACGGTGCAGAAAATCACGAATTTAGGAATATAAATTACATGGGACGGGCAGTATTCGGAGCCTGTGGGCATAATCGGAGAGTTTTCGAAGTTTTGTAAAAACGCTGATGACCTGATCAAACCAGCACAGGTTATGGGTGACTGTGACACCAAGCTATTTCACATAATTTCTGATTAAGGGCCGCTTTGATTATTAACTATAAGGTCATGGAGATTTCTTAGTAGTGAAAGATAACGGGAGCCGGTTTTAAGACTAAATAGAGTGTCAATGCACTTGTCAATGTTAAGTCCAAGGGATCGGGGCACAGACCAATCGTGAAGTTTATTAGGGCTATCCTGGAAAGGTCGACAGTTGTCTGAATTAGGGGATGGGAAACCAACCATGAGAAACGCAGCATATTTTCACGAAATGGCGTTGCTGAGAAAGTAAAGATTCTGCTTGTACGTAGACAAGAGAGGACAAATTAGCAGCATGAAAACACTATAGAATCGATCTTTATAAAAGACTGCTGCTTGTTAGTATAGAAAGATAATTGGGTTCTAAGAGAGAAATAGTCGAATAAACCATCCAAACTTCCGAGGGAAGACCACACTCAGAAAGAAGTCCAAGAGGTACTCTTCAGTCAAGAGAGAAAAAAGCGATTGCATAATCCAGAAAAATGAAATGAGCAGTACGTGCACCCTTGTCCGAGAAGAATGCAATAGAGTGAACTATTTGGGCAACAGTGTCTGGTGTGGACAGATGGGATTTATAGACGATGCGTAATAGATTATTTGG